CCAAACAATATATCTCCTATACTCAAGCTTTCTGCTAGCCTCTTCTAGAATGCATATAAGGATCCTAGCAGCACATACGAATGCGAAGGAGAGGCCTGGACTAGTCAAGAGTCTGCAGTGAGATATGGCCGTGGTTAAACACACCTAGTGAATCTCTGTAATCCAGGCATATTTTAGCAAGCCCATATTGAAGCCTTGCTGCCTTTTCTCCTGCAGTGATTTTCAAATCAGCCCATTTCTTTCTGTCCACACACATCCCTGTTTTTCCAGGCCCTGTAGGGATGGTGCCACCATCTTTATGCCCAGGCTTTCTGGCAGCTATCTCCAGCACTGGGTGCTTTCACAGGCTGGCCAGCCCTTTCTGCCACTGTGCACAAATCTCCTTCACCTTTGAATCCTTCCCTTGACTCCTCTTTTCTACACTGAGTTATAAGATTTGCTCTTTTCTTCAAAGCCTTTCAAGCCATGCTTTCCTCAACTAATCCACTAGTGCCCCATCATGTTGATCCCCCATCCCTGCTCCATCCGTAGCAGCCATCATGTTGTCCCACATCACTTCTTCCCCCAGCTCCTCTTCACCCGTTATGCCATGCCATGACTGACATGTTCAACAGCCTTCCCGTCCACAACCCCCGATTCCCTTCTCAGGCCCTACCTTGAGACACTTAAGAGAATCAGTCAGATACTAATCAGAGGAGAAACATTTATCTTATTAAGAAAGGCAACACAATCTTTTTATTAGTGTAGGAGCCAGCATAATGACAAGAAGAAAGAGAAGATTCTATCTCAGGCTTTTGGCATAATTAAAAACAAACAATAAATGTCATGATCAGTAGTGGAGTCACATTTTTTCTGGTTTCATAAACATGGATCCAGATTAACTCTGCTGTGAGTTATGCAGAGCTGTTCTGGATTTCAGCAGTGTCAAGATCTCATCTGTGTAGACTGCTTCCAAGAGACACAGCTCCTGCCACATCAGCAGGCTTTTAGGGATCTCTGTGCTTTTTCAGTCAATTGCATTTTTCTTGTCAAGCTCTCCTCCTTCTAACGATTCAGAAAGTCACAAGAGGGCCACCCTCCGAGGACTGTATTAATCCTCTGTTGCCAGCTGTCGAATCCATTCTGCACTGTAGAGCATGTTCGTGAACTGCCGCAACCCCATGGGACTGAAATCCTAAACAGCTCTGACCACATGCAGGTTTCTTCTTCCACTCTATGCCAAGCAGGACTAGGACTACTACTTCTGCAGGAAATCTTGGACTGAAGAGAAATATGTCATAGATATGAACTTCAGCTGAAGGAATACAAAAGGAAATCATCAGTATCACTCCTTGTTTGCTTTTCCCTGGATATCTCCGAATCACATTTGCATTTGCATGAACATTAAAATATTTGCCTTTTTTACAGAATATGTTCACATCAAATGCACAAATCCATAAAGTCAACTCTCTCCATGTTTTCAGAGTGGGGGGAAATGCATCACCTCAAAGTTCAGGCAACACGTATGTCCCATCTGGCAAACTGCTGAACATGTTAAGAAAGCCTCGTGCCAAACAACAAATCAAGTTTTAGGCAGGTCAAGAAGACAGAGGTTCATTGCACTTCCAGCAACTGGAAGAACGACTGAATGGTGCAAAAATAGCAACTAGGGAACAAGCCCTGTTCCATAGACCTCCAGAGATGGCACCTTGCTGAGGCAATCTCGGGGCTACAAACTGACAGGCAGCCCAGCGGGTGTTTGATTAATCTTTATCTGCAAAGTGCTGCTCTGCTGAAGCCATTCTGGGGCCTTGTTAATGTCTGGCAAAATGAGCAAGCAGTAAAGTTTGAGGCCGGACTCTAATTAGCAGAATTGTCCAGAGAAAGATTAGGCTCTGTCAACATGCCTTTTTCCTCCTGCCATCTCCTGTAGAGGCTGCTTACCTTCAATTGCAGACAGTAGAAAAGAAACATAATTTATTTCATCATCCTTTGCCGGAGCAAGATTGTTCCCTAAAGCATATTTTCTAGTGATTTGTTCTGTAATAGCCTTCTTTCCTTTTAGAAGAAGACTAATAGGCATCAACAGTGAGATTTTTTTTCTTGAAAATGAGCCAAATGTCCTCTCTCTTCTTCTTAATTCTATCTTGCTACGGTTAATCTTCTTGCAGCAGTTCTTGACTACTTCTCTCCTCCTCTAGGCCCTCAACCTCGATTCATGTCTTTCCTTCTTGTGCCAGATTTCAGCTACCTGGCAACATCTCTGTTCTTTTAAACTAACCCTCTAAGACAACCCCTTGGTGAGGTAATACCTGTGTTCCTTGCACTGTCTTCTAACAACCATTTTAAGGAAGGACAACAGTAGGGAAACAAGTAGGTGGCAAAGCCTGCTCTATTGAATGTCAGCTCTTTCCTGACTATTTCAAAATTAGTGTGGGGAATCTTGATAAAGGATCAGACTGATACTGAGAGACAAAGCAACTTCTTTTAGAAATAATATTTTAAAAGTACACATAAGCAGAGAGTAGCTGGGCATGTATAGGGTTAATCTTGTCTGTAAAGTAATTGAGAAAAATATCCACTGGTTTCTGAGGACAGTCTATTGCCAGCCTAAGGTAGAAGAGCTGCCAGGGATTTAAAAGCAGTCAATAGTTCTAAAAAAAGACAGAGCAAGCCTTTCGGTCTTGATTGATATTAAGTTAGAGCAATAAGTCAGTGTAGCTTTTCTGTACCAGCACCATGTTCAGACATATATACACAAAGCTGCTTCTGGTCTGCAGATGAAGTTGGCTCCAAGTCTGTTCAATGTTATTCTTCCCTGTATCTTTTCTCTCCCACTTCCCCGGCTCCCAAGCGATTGTAGTGATCCGTAGCAGTCCATGACCGGAGCACCAGGCAGGGGATGATAATTAGGCACTAGTAGTTGCTTCCTGACTAGCTTCCAGGGGCCAGTGGAGAGATATTGCCCTACTTCCTCTATGAGGACTGTAAATGTTATCACACCAGTCGGACTCAGGAGATACTCCAGGTGACTGACACTGCCAGCACACTGAGCTGGCACTATAGCTGAGCATGATAATATACATGAAGGTTTATACAGCCAGGTCACTTTGATTCATTAAGGCATTCAAAGAGTTTGTGCAATTTCTGAGAAGCTGTTTGGGATGGTCTTTAACCACCCTTTTACTGTTACCTCGTGGTGAAGGGGAAAGTTGGAAAGCGCTTGTGCTGAATTTGTTTTTCTCTATGTTTGGTAATAGACTATGACAAGCTGTTTAAAGAACGGACCCTTCGGGCTTGGGCTGTGCTGAGCCTTCCTTCCAACTCAGCTACACGTAGGCTTTTCCATTCCTTTCTTCCCTCCCTATAAGAGTTAATCAACAAAGCCCTACCTCTGTTTTCCAAAGGCCAGAGTGATGCATCTTTCTGCATTTAAAAACTGGCTACACATGTGAACATGTCCTTTACGCAGTGATGCTGTTTTAATTAGCCACATCTCTCTTTCTGGCCAGAAATACAAGAATTGAACGTGTGCAACTTTCCCGCAGCCAAGAGGCAGCATGGCTCCCATGGTCCCAAGCTGTGGGTTGTGCAACAGGGAGAAGCTTGCCAGCTGTACTGTAGGCTGGGAGGTTGCGGTGGGAAAGGGAACAGGAGATGGACTTTGCATGCCTAAAACTGGCAGGGGAAGGGGGCCGAAGATGCTGGGAAAAGCACTTGGGCAGAAGAGAGGAGAGGGAGAAAATGACCATGGGCAGCCTTGGGGATAGGCAGGGAGGTGGAAGAGGCCTGCCTGAAACAGGTCAGATAGATTGCCGTAAGCACATCCTTTTTGGAACAACCAGCTTGTCTTATTAGGGATAAGAGCTAATTAAAGAAAAAGATGCAACAGACTGAAACTATTGAGACAGTAACCCTCCTAAGACCAAAATGCAGCAGACTATCCCTGTTCAAGACAACAGAATGTTCACTTAAATTCCCTTAGCTATGGTCAGACATGGGTGGTCTCCTAATCCTAAATTCAAAATGCTTTTCAACTTTGTATCCTCAAAATAGTATCCTGTATTTTCTGTATAAGTCTCAGTTCATTCAGAAAGAGCTGGCTTAGAGACCCCTGAGGTTGACACCAATTGGAAGCTCCTGCAACATTCACTGAATTTCCTTTCCCTTTTCAGCTTACTCCATTTCATAGCATAAGATTAGAAATTGTACAGTTCCTGAATATTCCTTAAATCCCTAGTCATGTAAATAATATTGATGGTAAGGAAAATAAGCTGTTAATAGATGCTCCTTGTCATGACCACTACTGGCTAAATCATTGTCTGTTGCCCAGTGAAACCTCCTCCTGGGTTTTTCAATGCCTTATCTTCAGCTTTATTACTAACCTGCACTGCACAGTAGAGAGGCTAAAAGTCACAGTTTGTGGCATTTCCATTTTGACCATATAATTTCTATGGTCTTTATATGAGCAAAATGTGGGCTCTTGCCCTAGTGGGCAGTGAAACACTCACCAAAAATGGTCTCTGAATACCAAAAAGACAGCCTGGCAAAACAGAGGAGAGATCTCATCTGGCTTTGCATTCTGCCATAAGGAAAATGAATGTAATCCTGACCCTAAATGTCTTGCAATCTTTATTGGCTCTCTTTGGCTTGCAGCAGCAACTCTGTGAATAATGCATGCTGTTAGATGGGTTTCCTAAGGAAAGAAGGTTTACATAATCATATTGTCTGCCAGTACCCGCCTTCTCCCTACCACATAATAACTCTGAAAACAGCTGGCCAATTTCAACCAAATTTGACAGAGGGAAAGAAGTCTCAAAGATATTGCGTTAAGCAGAAGGAAAAAAAAAAAGAGACTGTGTAGGGAAGAGACACTTTTAGTGGCCTCACTGAGGAACAGGCTGTGGCGTGAGCTCATTTCGCACCAGGCGTCAGAGGTGCCACTCAGGAACTCAAGTCCAAGAAACACGTTGATGGAAAATCTGGTTCTTCTGCTCACACAATGACTTGTTTCTTCACAGGTCACTCAGGGAGAGCCCCAGAAGTCATGTTCCAAGCCTGTAGCAGAAAAAGTCACAGAGAGCTGCCAGCAAATTTGTCAATGTAGACCACCTCCACCATTACCACCGCCTCCTCCGCCTCCACCACCCCCGAGGTTGCTAGTTGTCCCAAGTAAGTAGACACTGGTACGGCTGTGGTGTGCTGAGGGAGGGTGAAGTGATGGGGACGCCTGCACAGATGGAAGGAGAAAGAAAATGGGAGATGGCACAGTTAGCTCGTTTGTCATTTTCCACTTAGCAAATGGAAGAAATGTTCTCAGAAGAGATGGAAATCTGATTTCTGATCAATGAATAATGCTTGGCTTTTGGAGGAAAGCCAGAGAAATTCCCTCCTTTCATTATATTATGTATGATTCCCTGGCTTTAAATGATTCAGTAGTGTCCTGGCCCAAGGAAATGCTTTCTTTCCACTCCCGTTCACCCATGCAGATGGTGCTATGCTTCCCCTTGATTTACATGGCCTCCTGTTTAGCCAGGTATGCAACTTGAATGTCCGCGTAGTTCAAGACAAATTAGTTTATGAGCAGGCAAAATGTCACACATTGCCTAAACAAACCTGCAGTTTTGGCCCTCTTCAAGGCACTGGAGCTATACTGATTTGCTACAGTGTTCAGTCGAATTCACTGCTTTAATTTGCTTAAAACTGTAAAAAAAATCAGGGGCATATTAGGAGTCAAGGGCAAGTGAGCCAGGCTAAGGAACAGTGCTCTTAGCCATTTTCAGATTGCCCAGTTCCTCCTCATTTCCAGCTATGCAGCCTCACATCAGGCACCCATTCAGGCATAACCCTGAGCCTACAGTTCCTGCTGGCTACCTCTGCATGCTCCCCTCTTGCCCTGGGTGAATATTGACTTATCCAAGCTGAATTGCCCCCGGGAGTGTAAGGTAGCATAGGCAAGGCTGCCCAGAGAGGCTGCGGGATATCCGCCCTTGGAGGGCTTCAAGATGCAGCTAGACAAAGTCACAGCTGTCCCAGTCTCGTGTTGGCAACCATCCTGCTCCAAGCCAAATGCTGGACTAGCCGATCTCCAGAGTTTCCTTCCAGTCGGTATTTATGTGATTCCTGAGGCATAAATCCCTTCTGGGCTGCGGATAGTCTCTCCGCATAGTTGTGACGGTGGACGACGGGGAGGCAGAGCCCCTCAGCAGCGTGATCAGCCTCGCCGGTGGAACACCCCCTGGCTGGGTGCAGGAGCACGGCTGAACTCTGCTCAGATACTTTTAGTTCCCAGGTGTTTCATCTTTCAGGAAATCTCCTTACCACTTTCTTATTTCCACAAATTTGCCTTTCCCTAAAAGGCTGCTTATTAATTCTTCTCCCTGCTTAGATAAACTCCCCCGAGAGCACTGTTGCAAAGTATATCTATTATCCTTCTCAGCACTTCCCCCAGGAGAAATGAAATCATTAGGTAGCATCATTTGGCTGTTTATCAGCTCCATCCCCAGATGTGCAGCAGACAGGAGGAAGGTTTCTGCACAGTTTTGAGAGTGGTAGAGGACAGGAAGAATTTTGTAGCATGTCTTCTGCCAGGAGTGAACTTTGTGTTAGTGCCACACTGCAGGAGTTTAAGACAAAGGCAGAAAAAACAGTAGTTGGAAACACTTGGGAGAGAAGTGGCAGAGCGATGTTAGCACTGGGACAAGCTCTGCTGCTGAACTGCAAAGGCAGGAGAAAAGTGGCTATGGTGCCGCTTTCCTCTTGCTGGGCCACGGGAGGCTTCTGTCTGCCGTCAGGCAGCTGGCATGAGTGTACTGATGTGTCTGCTGTGAAGTGGGAAGGAAGTTATATCGAAAAAGTCTGTCATACATTGCAAAGGAGGAAAGAGCAATCAAATGGTGAGTCTAGGGCCTACAACGGGGGTAGCCTGATGCTTACTCAGGCTGGATTGCCAGGTGCTAACCCAGTTCTAAAAATGAGCTATAGAAATCCAGATGACTAATATTTAAACAAGCTATTTCATTTCAAATGCAATAAAAAAAGAGATTACACTTTCCTTTCACCAGTAAGCTTTAAAGTAGCAATCAAGTGCCTCATCTTGAAAGATGCTTTCATTATTATCAGCTGTCTAGGCACTGTGATTTAACCCACGAGTACAGCAATCCCTTTTCTTGTGAGAATGAACAAGCCTCCTTGCTAAATATTGATGTTTTGGACATTGCTTTTAAACAGTGTTCAGGGGAGAGCGCAGTAAAGGGACAAGACAAGCTGTTATTAAGTGGTTGATGCCTAGACTTGCACTTTGCACTTTTTAAGTGATTAAAGTTAAGCGCTGGAAAGACCTCAGTGAAAAGCAGCAGCCCATCTGCAAGTTTTCTGCCTTTGCCAGGCACAGTATCTGCACCACAAGGCACTTTGAAAAGATGTTTCCATTGCTCTCAGCGATCTCTGTCAGCCACAAAAAGGCTGCAGCCTGCTAGGCACAGTCCTTAAAAGCTCTTTTTCCATTCAAACTGGTAGTGGCTGGTGGTTTAGATCATCTCTACCTCCTAAAGCCGCTATTGTGGCTTGTGTCAAATGGTAAAAGCCAACAGATCCAAAATTCCAGTCCATCCAGTAACTGCAGACACTGACAGTCCAATTATCTGCTAAATGAAGCCATCTAGAGCCCTTTGACATGTCCTGTCTGGTCTTTAGCTGCTGGTGTGGAAAAGCAAAGGATGCTCTTAGTGTCTCCAATCCCACCCAAACGTATTGCAGACTCCACTGGGATGCGTGGCATAGCACTAAATAACTGTATATTCACAGGTAAATCCATCTCCAAATGGTCTTTATTGAGCTTAAGGAGACTGTGAGGACTTTCAGGGACAATTACGTTGCATTTGATATCTCTTGAGACATTTCAGTATCGACAGGTAGGTCCAGTGACAAATCTTCACCTCTGCTTCCTGCAGATAGAGTTATACAAAATCTGTTAAGAATTCCAGAATTAAAGTATAATTATTGGTGAATATAATGTTTACTCTGGTGGATGATGAGCTAATTCCCTCCATAGAAAATCAATAGGATCACACAGAACTTAGCAGTCAGTTTAAATAAATGAGGGGTGGGAGGAAACTCCAGCTTTCTAGTCCTTAGGAGGCACAACAATATTATATTCATGTATTTACAACAGGAATATAGGGACAGTGTTTCTGTGCCCCCTGAGGAGACATATCATTCGTTCACCAACACGAATATGGGAAATTAAATTAGATCATTTGGCCCATACGCTTCCAAATATGTGTAACAAAATTATAGGCTGGTGAATTCAGGGAATCCTTCTGCCACCTAAACTCCAGGCCTCAGGAAAGAAAACACAAACTGTTTTTGTTCTCCTTCTTCAGCCATGATCCCAGGCCTCCTTTCCCTATGTTTGTAATGCCTTCACACAGAACACTGATGTTTCCAGTGTCCTTTCTCAACCCACGTTCTTGCCTTCACTGCATCTGCTCCACAGTGATCATCAGACATCAAACAACCCTACACAGCCGGGCAGCAGTGTAGCAAGGGAGCCACAGCCCTGCACTGACTATGGGAGCTGTGCATACATGCCACCAAAGCTATCTCACATGGGATGGCAGAGCAGCCCTGCGTCCTCCACGCTAAGCAGAGGACTACTGCATCCTGATGTGCCCCAGGAAATCAGTCTGCTTTTTGGCATCTAGATGAAGGCTAGGATCAGCCAAGCTGGTCCATTTGGATGTTGATTCTCTGCATATTGTTAGCTTTGAGTTCAGCCTTGTGCCTTTCTATATATTGGGAACACATGGATCCTCACCAGTGATGTTTCAGTTTGGAATTTTCTGAGCTTAATTCCAGGTGCAGTTCCTTAGCATCCCAGTGCAATAATGTTGTCTCATTTGGTACAGGTCTGTACCTTACTAAAAGCCTTAAAGGCTAGGGGCTGTAATTGGTAAAAGAAGTAACTGGGGTGTTGGTGACTGTGCAACAACCTGGTGCAGACCATCAGGAGACACACTGGCTGAGCCAGATACAATTCCTCCAGATGGTCGGGGCATGTTGACGTTTCTGCTATAACTCCTAATACAAGTAGCTGCCAGCTCTTCAGCCTATGCCTAGAAAACTGCTGGTTGATGCAGTTGATGCAGTGAAGGGAAAGCTCATGAGGCTCTGAGGGGTCAGCTAAACTTAGATGCTGGCAGCAAATAAAATAAAAACTTTCAATAAATTCAATATATTCCCTAGACATGTCTGTAATGACCTCAAAGAGCTAGAGGTGCTCAGAATCTGGCCTTTAATTAACCGTTTCTTTTTCCCCCCATCTGCTTTCCTCCTTGTCTTTGGATTTCATCCAAGATTAAGGCAAGGTGGTTGGAGTACATGTTTAGGCAGCATTTCTAGTGCTGCTTCACCGACATGTGAGATTAAGCTAGTTCAGATGAAGTTGACCCTTCAAAATTTAAAATACTGCTGTAGTCAACCCCTAAGTATTTTGTGAGCATGCCGGATTCTTCACATGCATCACAAAGAAGATTGGACTTAACATTTAAGGCTCCAGAAAAATGGGAGAGGATTAAAGACAGAAGTCCAAGTAGAAGCAAATACTTAGTGCAGTCAGTGTCAGTTTTAACCTGTGTAAAGGTTGAGGGAAAAAAACACTTCAGAACTAACTTTCTCAAGGTGGCACAAGGCAAGGAAAGGACATTCAGCATGAACTCCTCACTTGCTGGTTGGTAACATTTGCCGTCTCTACTCTGCCCATCTCCTGCAAGGGGTAGGGAGTCTACATCATCACCTCCGTTTGGATGATGAAAGTGTCCAGTCAAATGTTGGTGCCATTGAAATTTGGAGGAGAAAACTTTTTTAAAAGTGTTTATCTCAGGTCATTATAAGCTTGTAATATTATACAGCTGAATCTGGATATGTGAACCAGCCTTTGATTCATTGGATACTTACACACTTATATATATAGTCAGCTCCTGACAGCTCCTGAACTCAGCAAAAGTTTGCCCTTAGCTCTCAGTTGAGATAACAGTAAAATCAAGTCAGTGCAAAGCCAAAATGAATGACATCACTGCAGAGGACTCTAATCTCTAGGCTGTAATTGCACTATTTTGTTTTTCAAGGTCAAGTCTTTATCTTTGCAGATAATGCATCTAATTAAGTAATGA